TTAAAATAATCAATATTGACCGAATTATGAGAACTTTTCGAGGTGGTCCTATCATTTTGGCGCGCACTGTATGTGAGGGTGGGGCACTATTGCAAGTCCCCAGCCAAAGACAACATTTTTGATGGCGGGGGGCGGGGGGGGCATAATTACAGTTTTTACAGTATATGTGGGATAATCCCAATTTCGTGATATTTGTCCCCAGTATGCGATCTGACTTTTTGATTTCCCGTCATATCTGTTTTTATGATTATTCCAAATATGAATATGTTGGTCTGTCCATTCTAATTTTCTTCCTGCGGCCCCCACCGCGCATATTGAGGATAGAAGTACACTACAAAAACTGTGATTGTGCCCCATGGGGTAGGTACTCCATTCGTACCCCCCTCTCCCCCCTCCTTCCCTCCTAACCTGGGTCATTATTCATGTGTGTGGGGAATTGGAGGTCACAAACAACGCTAAAACATCACCTTTACTGGATATTTTTCACTAAATTGCTGATTATTCCACATCAGTTTCCAAAAATTAGATTGTAACTATTTGAGATTTACGGAATTTACTTTTTAAAACGCAAATTTCGGATAAAGGGGCACAATCACAGGTTTTACAGTACTCCATACTATGAGATAAATCATTATGCAGCTTTTTCTACAGTGAAACCCACTGATGTCCTTCTGTCGTGTAGGAACACGCACTAAATTATATAATAACACACTTTCCCCACCAACAACACCCACCAAGTCCCGATGACTCAATGGGCTTTGTTAGGGTTAGAACCTGAAGGCCCAGGAACTTTCCCTTGCACCGGGTTGATGTTTCCTCTGTGCACCGTGTTTCCACTTAGTCAACTGACGGAAACCCAGCGTCACCAGCCACGAGCAAAGGCTGGCACGCTCTCCCACGCAATATAAACCTCGCAGGTCCTCAGGAAGGAAGGATCCCAGCCAGTCACGGCTTGATACGAGAGTGCCGGAGCTATACTCCGGCAGGAAGGATAAATGGAGTGCGCTCTCGCTCCTCCACTACACGGCGATGACTCGCCCTTCGTATACACGGCCACCTTTTCTCTTCTCTTGGCCTGACCACGGGTAAACCCACGCTACGATACTAGCAGGTGCGTCCACCGACAGTCATAATCCTACCAACAGATATATCCAATTGCCACGGGATCTCACCGATAGCCCGGACGTCTTCCTTGAGTGGTTGGGAGGGAAAGCTGTTCTGTTCTTGTTGCCCAAAGGGTTTATCTGTTCTATCTTCTCTTTCCTATGGTTCAATACAAATATCTAGTATAAACGTGTCCGTTTTGGATCTTCCCAAGTAACCACCGACCCTTCAGAGCCTCCTCGACGCCCCAAGAGGCATCTCGATGACTATTGGACGATGAATGGGTTCCCTGACTTGGAGCAGTCGCCGGGGCTCGAACGGTAGTCTTAAGTGCGGATCTCGGGTCAAAGTTTGTTGTAGGTTCGGATCGTACTTGAAGTCCTGGATCTCGAACTTGGGTGTCGACGAGTCTTCGGCACCGGTCCAGAATGGCCAATCAGCATCCGCCGAAAATTGCTGAACATGTCCCGACGACTCGGGTCGCCACTGAAGCTTGGTCGTCAGCTCGATTCTCGTTTACCGCCAAATCACTACACCACACTTCACCTGGGGGTTCTAATAATGAAGACGTCAATTTTTGGTGGACACGAATTAGTCTGGCCCAGACTAATTTTGAGCCCAGACTAATTAATGTAGGCACTGTAGTTGAACTGCAAGGTGCCCTTGCATCATGCGCAATGTCCATTGGCGTTCGCCGACCAGATGGAGAGTTGAGACCGCGGTCACTTCCGAATTCGCATCCTTGGACCACTGGAATCTTTCCTATCCACCGTCGATGCTAGCGTTTCTTCCGACGTTAGCAGCGTCCGATTCGCGGCAGAATGTAGTCACCTCTGCGCTTATTGCGCTACTACTGGGGGCGTCCACGTATGCGACGCTGAGCCACATCGAACGATCGAGAGCGAAACATCAGCGCCACAAGGAAGGGCTCCCGGTGCCGAGACCGAGCACCACGCTGCCGATTATGGGCAACACGCTGGACTTCGTCAAGAACAACGACGTGTTTCACGACTGTGTGTCGAGTCTGGTACAGGAATTCAATGGGGAGCCATTCCTGCTGAGCGCTCCAGGACGTCCCGATATCCTCGTGGTCTCGACGCCCGAAGCGTTCGAGGGTGTGGCCAAGCGGCAGTTTGACACATTCGTCAAGGGCGAGTAACTCCACGAAATGTTCTACGATCTCCTGGACAACGCGCTCACCAACAATGACGGCGAAGTATGGCAGTTCCAACGCAAGATATTCGCGAAGTTGTTCAGTGTGCGAGCGTTGCGTGAGTCCATAACCTCGACGATCCAGAAGCACGACCGCACCTTGCACACGCTGTTTGAGAACGCTGCTGTATCTGGTGAGAGCTTCGACCTTTTCCGCCTTCTGAGCCGATTCGCGATGGAATCATTTGCCGAGATCGGGTTTGGCATCCAGATGGGCTCCCTTGCCATCGGGGAGGACCATCCCTTTGAGAAGGCCTTCGATATCACCGAAGAAGCGACGGCGAAGCGATTCTCGGAAGTTGAACGCAACATATGCTCGAGAGGATCCCGCGGCTGGCACTCGAGACGGGATACTTCCCGACCATGGACGAAGTGCAATCGCTCACGTACCTCGAAGCCGCGATCAAGGAGACGCTGCGACTATATCCTCCTGCATCAACTGCAGCGCGGACACCTTCCTCTCCGACGGTACGTTCGTCCCGGAGGGCACCACGATTGGTCTGCCTTCGTACGCTATGGGACGCATGGCCAGCAACTGCAACGAGTACAAGCCCGAGCGCTAACTGGACCCGGGCACCGGCAAGTTGCTGTCCGTGTCGGCGTTCAAGTTCCCCGCGTTCTTCGCCGGTCCGCGCATTTGTGTCGGCATGAACCTGGCCATGCTCGAGATGAAGATCGTGCTTACAGGCCGCGTCACCGTTCAGCCTGGCCAGGAGGTCACGTACGTTCGATCTCTCGCGCTGCTGATGAACCCTTTCATGGTGAAGATTGAGAAGGTCTCGCCGTCCGTTGTCCCAATTGCCTAGGCGTGAGACCTGAGTAATTATTTGTAGCACACCAATGTCCATAATATGGACATATTATGTCGATGCCCAGCCAGTCCTCAGGTCTGCTGGAGAAGCTGCGGCGAGCTGGGGACGGCCGAGCGCTGCGGTGAAGAGGTACGTAGCATTGGCATTGCGACTTGGATGCTGGGCGACAATGTGTCCACATCGTAGACACTATTTTAACCGATCAGAGAAGTTAAGTGAACTCATTCATTCGGCCAATCCGCGTGGAGAACCGAATCCACTTCAACTTGGTAGCCG